GCGAGTGAAGAACGGATGCTAGAAAAGTCAAGCGAATTAATTTTATGCACTTTTATCATAAAAAAACTTGACAAACTTCTCCAAGAGTGGATGTCTTGTCCTGTAAGCATTGTTGTCTCATCAAATCCACCAATTATTTTGAGTGTATGTACCCGTGTACATACACTCCAGTGGCCGCGGAAGCGTGGGTGGGGACAGAGGGACAATGTCCCCAGGGTTATTCGATGTCGGCATCATCTGCCCATGTTATATAAACCCCTCCCTCCCCTATCCTGCAATGTTAATGTCCCCACATGTCCCCACGGCTTCCGCGGCGACTGACACACTCCAGAAGGAAACATACTGGTTTCTTACTTAGCTCAGGGGAAAAGTACACGGATGACGAACTGCCCTAAAAATGTTGAACCATCAGAAATCAAGCTTTGTAGCTTCTTCGCACATTTATTTTATAGTGATTGAACTGAACTAAACATGGACGTGGATGTATTTATTATCGACGTGGTGGTGCTAATTTGATGGAAGTTGGGGCTGATTGTAATTGGCAGATGGATTGTTTCAAGGAGGTGCATGGATGGAATAGTATTGCATTTTTGGAGGGTAAAGATATTTACTAAGAAATTTTGAATTTTTAAACAGAAAAATGTAAAATTGTGACGTTTTAAATAAATTTTAAGACAGTGTAGTATTTTATAAATACAAGAAAGATTGTCGGCTCCTTCCGTTTTTTTAAAAAAGTTGACAATTTCTTCATACAACTACTGAGGAGCTTAAACTTGATTCTTTTCATTTGTATCAATTTTTTTTTTAACTTTTGACAATTTCATAACACAAAACTTTTGAACGCCTAAAACTACAGTGCACTTGCATACTTACTAAATGTATGTACAGATTATGTATACGCAATTATGTGGCTTCTGAAGACTCGAACCCGTGTCGTCCATTATTATTATCATTATTATTGTACGACATGAATAAAACATTTGTTGACACTCTTGCGCACTTTTGAACAACGAGTTTGTTTGCATAATATCGTAACAAAGGCGAAGATGACCCGACCAGACTGACAACATGTCATGCGATATTATTACCGCACCCCCACCGGACTCCTCCGGCTTCCTCAAGTTATACCTTTGATTTATTTTATCCATATTCCAAATGGACAAAATGTCAGGCATGATTAATGCCTAATTGTCCACCAACCAAGCTTCACATCTTTTATTGAAATCATTCTTCAGTCCTTGCATTTTTTTAGTGGCAATTTTTCATCCCCGCAAATTGAACGAATTATTATGCAAACATTTCTTAAAAAAGTGAATGATCCCGATTTCCAGAGATGATTATCCAATCTCTCATTTTTCAGTCAGGCATTTTTTTAGGGACAATTTTTCATCCCAACAAATTGAACGAATTATGCAAACGTTTCTTTCTAAAAAAAACTGAGCGACTGATCCCGATTTGATTTGAATTGAAATAAGTTTGATCAATACGGCGGAGAGGGACACACACGTGCCTACAGAGTTCAGAATCTTTGTCGTCGAGTCGAGGCCGGTACTCATAAAAAATGGAGCGGATAGCGTGTGCGTACGGAATAAAAATAAAGATAACATAAAAATGGATGGTGGTCGTATGGGAGATTTCCACCCTGATATTGCCACCCTTTAAGAATAATAGATAAACGACGCGCTCACTCGCTGCTACTTTCAAGGCATCCGATTTATTTATTTAAAGAGGATTCGAGATGATCATATTTTTAAATTCTTGCGAAATTATTGACTTGTGAAGGTTACGTGTTTTTTGTGCGAATTTTTTTTATTCGCGGAAATGTTAACGTCGCGCTGAAACAAAAGTAGATCTATTTTCTTGAATAGAAAAGCTATAGCTTTATACTTCACAATTTCACGATAATTTTCCTATCCCGTAATGTATTTCGATAACATTGCAGGATAGGAAAATTATCGTAAAATCATGAAGTATAAACGCACCTAAAGTAAAGAATGGGATCGGCTCTTTCTTATTTCTTACGCAAAATGTTTTGCGCGTGGTCTGGTGTCAAAATCGATGTCGTTAAAAGCGTCGATTATAGAAAATGACCCCATTAAGATTTCAGCCTGCGATTGAGTCCTTGGTTCGTTCGTGCGGATGGGATGCGCCTCTCGATGGGTTGAATTCCATTAAAGAGAAAGAAGACGCGGCTCCACAGAAGACAAGATAATGGGTGGGAGAAAGCTGCCCGTTCCGTGTCCCGTTGGCATTCCGAACCCCCTGCAAATTCCATCCCTATATACAATCCAATCCCGAGTAAATGGACAATTAACGGGCAGCATTACGAGAGCGAAAATGGGGGCTGGAGAGAGAGAAGAAAAGTTGTTTTATTTTAGTGCCAATTCCTTCCTTGGAGGAATAATTGTCTTTGTTAAGGTGTCTTGTTTTCCAATCATGACAATATTCGAGTAGTGTTTCGGGTTTGTCACGTTTCTTGCGGTGCAAAACAAGAAATGTGAGAAATGCGAGGTGCAAGAAACTGGGAGAAATTGCAAAAAATATTCGCAAATCAACCCACTCGCGTATGAAGTATAGCGCCGGGCCGTAGCTTCTTGCGCCTTGCATTTCTTGCAGGTCGAAATAGTTGCAAAAACCCACTTTTTTTGCAAATTACTACTTTCACCTGGTGCATCGTTCCTTACAATTTTAGCACATTTTTTTGAATTGCAAAGCCAAAAACGCCAGAAATGCGAGGTGCAAGAAACTGCAAGAAAGTGCAAAAAATAAGCCCCATTTAGCCACGCGCCGTATGAAGTATAACGCCAGGGCGTCGTTTCTTGTGTCTTGCATTTCTTGCAGGTCAAAATACCAGCAAAAACACCACTTTCTTGTAGTTATTTCTTGCAAGTGGTTATTTTTGCACCCGAACGAAACACTGAATCCGAGCAGAAGTGGCAATGGCGATGTAATGATGATGACGATGATGAGGAGTTGCGAATAAATTAATAATTTACCCCGATTGCCTCCTTAAACAGGTACATATTTACGTGCCTACGTATGTATGTATGTAAATACTTTGCGTAATCAGAGGAAATTGGTCGTAAAGCTAAACAGATAAATAAATGCGAAGACGAAGGCGCTTACTTACTTTATTGGAACTTGTTCAAAATTTGGGTGACATAAAGTCAATACGGTTTTATTTAAGAGGTTTAAATTGTAAATTAGCTTCGTTGGGAAATATTTAGGCCAGCGGTTAATTCCCCATAATTGGATATGTCTTATATAATGACATGAATTTTATGATGAAAACATGGCATTGGAATTAAAAGACGTGTTCCTGGAGAACATGCTGGCTTTACTTTCACCCCGATTTTATATATTGCACAGCCGAAAATAATCCGAATCTCGGATTGGATCTGGCCGAATTCGGGAGGGGCGTTGCTCTACTAGTCACCTCTGCTCCAATCTCGTCCCATCTCTCAAAAAATGAGACGAGTCGGAATGCAATAAATTCAGGCACTAAGAGCATGAGCTTTTCGCAAGTATATCAATATGTACAAAATTAGCAACAAGTTTTTGCAAATTTTTGCGCTAAATTGTATTGATTCGCAATTCGATATTCTCATCTCTCTTAAAAAATGTTACACTTTTTTGTTGTTCTCCCTTCAATAATTAAATCCAATTCACACCAAGAATTTACATTTCTCGCGAATATATCAATATGCACAAAATTAGCAACAAGTTTTTGCAAATTTCTACTTGATACTCTCATCTCCCAAAAACCGCTACACTGTTTATTCTCTCTTCTTCCCTAATAAAATCCAATTCACACCAAAAATTTCCATTTTATACAAAATTTGCAAAAACCTTATTGCAAATTTTACTTATTGACTCTTCACAACCCGATATTATTAATAGTGTCGACGGTCAAGGCAGTCACTATTTATCAGATAAATTGCTTTTTACTATTTCATCGAATTGGTCGCATGATTGATATTGATTTCTCACATATCTTCCCCCCGTTGGAATTCCGGCCAGCTTTCCTTCCGTAGCGTAAAAAGTAGTATCGTATCAATAACTGGGTAATGTAATTCATGCATTATTATCGTCCACCTGCGACTACTCATCCCACCCGTAAATAGATAAGTAACCTGCGATGAGGTGCGTATGTGTACCTATATCAGAGCCACGTAAATACATAAAAGGTGCCTATCCTCACTACCAGGATTATTAGGCCGATACATTATTTATACCCCGAGTTTGATTAAGATTAGTGAAATGGGGCGAGTTTGGCTGATTAAACGGAGTCAAGTAGATTGCCTCTTGTGAATAATTAATGTTTTATTAATCTGGAGAGAGAGAGAGATGATTTGATTGGATTGGAATTAGAGGCGGAGGCTCATTAAGAATTAATGGATGGTTCGTTCGTGGCTGCTTAAACTTGGTCGTCGATCCGTTTACATACAAGACTTGAATTGGAATAGATTGCATCATTTATCAAACGGCAGATAGAACCATCCACTCGTTTAAGTTTTGATGCTACATTTATTATTACGGAGGGACAATCTATTACACAGCGATGCGGACGCGATGGGGGGTATCCCCGTCGTCTTTGTTGAATCAGGGCCAAGGTATGTCACCCAGAGTCCAACAGTGGCCGCGGAAGGACAGGGGGACAATGTCTCCACGGTTGTTCGATGTCCCCATCATCTGCCCATGTTAGATAAACCTCTCCCTCCCCTATCCTACAATGTTAATGTCCCCACGGCTTCCGCGGCCACTGTCCACCACCACCACCGAATATGTGACAACTTGTGTCAACTTGTCCGTCCGATCTGTATTAACGACCACTACTACTTTTTTTATTGTACAATGGAATCTTCTCTATATGGCGATCTCATTATTATTATTATCATCATTTTCATTATGATCATGCCCATCATGCAGCCAAAAGGAGAATTGGAGATGAAACTCCTTTATTAATTGCTAATTTAACTAACTATGTTTGTGATTTCCAGTCCGCAGCGCGTCGTGCGGGGACGAGTTGTGCAAACTGTAAAACGACGACGACAACCCTTTGGCGACGGAATCATAACGGAGAACCGGTCTGCAATGCGTGCGGACTTTACTATAAACTTCACAATGTAAGTGGAAAAGATTTTTGTAAATTTGTATCCAACATTTCAGATGCACCAGCACAACCTGAATGGTTTTGAAATTATGAAACTTTCTCATTTGGTTATTTTCGGCTGTGAAATTGTCCAAATTTTATACATTGTATGCAAATTAAAGAAAATTGCATAAGTGCATTTGCATAATTGCAAATTTCAATTTATTAGGAGAAAAGGCATATTAATTTGCTCCCCTCGTGGGGAATTATCCAAGACCAACGCTATAACTTATGTTCCACTTATGCTCCAACGATTTATAAAATCTGAATTGATGACACGGTAATCTTTTAATTATTTGTAAATTATCATACTTTTTTATACTTATTTTCGGAGTGAAAGTTATCCAAATTTTATTATTGAAAAATTACAACTTCAATAATTTGAAATTTCTATTTTAGTTCAAGAAAAGGGGGTTTATCTTGACCAAGGCTAACTTATTTTCCAGTTGAGACAGCCCGTTTTCCATGCATTCTTGTGTCCATGCATCCATTTTCATATTTATTAGATGAGTCTCTCTCACATGACTAAAAAGAGACAATGAGACTCATTCAACTCTCAGTTAAAAAGTGTCCTCATCATCCATCCATCCATCCCCGGCATGCAGGGTCATTAGTTGAGGAGCAGAATTCGTGGAATCTGTGAACTCTGTCCTCCTCTTAAAAACCGAGAGAGAGATGACGAGAGACGAAGCAAAATAAAATAACAGAACACGAACGGAGGAATTCTTGCGCCGGGAAGAATATTCCATCAGAGGTTAAAACCGAATCTCGAGTGTTTTACGTATAATGACTCCAGCTCATTCATCGCGTCAGTCAGTGAGTCAACCCTTCTTCCAGTCCAGGAGGAAGAAGGAAACCCGAAAATGAAACAAATGCGACCATTTAAAAACTGTGACATCGCAGTAATTGAAAGGTCTTCAGAAGGTTCAAACATATTTGTTCTCGTGTATAATGTGGGTATTCACGTCAACTTCGTAAACGCCGTAAACGTTGGTTCACAACATATCTTCGCAACTTTGCAACAAGTTTCATTTCTCCTCTTATTTTCAGTCTATGTACATATTTTCATTTAAAATACGTACATACATAGGTCGTTCACGACACCGATTTCGCAAACACCGCAAAGTTGCAACGTTTTTGAGTTAGGTGAATGCCCACAATGACAACGAAGAAGTAAGCAAGTTTGGAAACTCCCCACCAAATTCATTGATCTCTAAGAAATCCTGAAAGATTAGCCTTCTCAATAAATACTTTTGTGGATCCATCCACGTTTTTCAATAAGTTTGTCGCAAATGTGGATCAAATTACGGTTTTCTTCGCAATAATTCTCCTCCCGACATAAAAAGAGACGACGACGGAGGGGTGAAGTTGATACAGTTGTGTCCTCATCATGCCGACGCCTGTATTTAAAAGAGGTCGACCTTTCCTCTTCTATTTTGTATATAAACTGTCGTTTCGTACATATTTATTTATTTTATTCGGCTCTCTCTCAGTCACAAAGGGCCGAGTGGATAAAATAACAGAGAAAAGAGACGACTTCCTTCCTCTCTAAATTGTTGTGACACATGGTCATGAGCTACCATTACATTGACAAAGTACCAGGTTTTCTGCCTCTCTTTCTGCCAAGATGACATTGACAATGACAATGACATCCACTTCAAAATGCTGCATTTTACTAAAAAAAGCGACCCTGTTTACACAAATGAATCCATTTTTTCTATGTACAAAAGGCGTTAGGACATGGTTTTGACGAATTCATATTTTAATTGCGGGATGGTTTTTAGTTGTAGAGATTTCTAACATTTTTTATGTGAAAGCCCGTGTCTCAAACTATAGGTAAACATGTCTGGCTTCCGGTTTTGTGTACTCTGCGAAATGAGGGAAGGTCAAATATAGAGAGGTGTCCTTTTTTAGTTTTCCAAACCAGTGTTCTTATAAAATGGCGTTGAACAAAAGATTTTTTTCTTAGGTCCTGATGCAAAAATCGTCTTTGCGAGTATTATCAAGAGACTTAGCATACTTTTCACTATATAAAACCATTTTTGTCTCATGCTTATCTTTTAAGTCACTTTTGTAGTCTAGCTTCATACTTGTCCTAATGGAATGCTCTCGTTAACGCAACTCCTCGACTTTTAAGGCCCCCACATTTTAGGACTTTGATTCTAAAAATCCCTAACGTTGTTTTTATCCAAGGTACATATAGTATATTGCACTGTAAATATTTTTGATTAAATTTTGATAAGTGGTTACACCCCACGAAATGAGTTTTCATCAAACCCAATAAAATTTTTGGAAAAGTTTCCGTCGTCATCAAGGTTGAACTTCAAAAATAATTTAACTAACCAAAACTTGGTAATTTTATTATTTTGTCACTTGTACCTTGTAGGTAAAATAGTTCTGTAGCAGGGGACACAAAAACGTTATTAAAATTTATTTTCAACAAAATTTGACCATTAATTTTCCAAATTAGTTTACGAGTTTTTTATGATTCCCCGTCAGCTGATTAGCTTGGGTCCTTCTCCAAGACTGTTTACTCAAAATCTTAACTATTTTGTTTAATATTACTCAGGACACTTCCAGCTTTACCCTCAATCTTCATTTGACCCAGTGGGTCTGCATTCAAGGTCAGCAGGTCAATTTTCCCGTGCACGGTCCGATTTATCACTTTTCATGGAAAAATTTCATTAACAATGGAAGGCCAACGTTATGTAATTCATTGTGGATTCTTTTATTATTACATGCAATGATTATCTAGGGTTATAATATTAAGAATAATTCACCTCTGACCTCTTAGGTTATTATGCTATACGAGTACTTAAGTTTGGAAAGTGTTTTTACGGCACCCTCCAACTCTGAGGACACTGGAGGTGTCATTTTTGAAGCTATCACCTTAAAATTTTGGAAATACCTTTTTGAGAGTATTATCTTGCAGTCTACCAAAAATCACTTCAAAATTCTACTCCCTGCCAGAGATATTCACCCGCGAATTCGTCAAAACCATCACCTAACGCCTTTTGTACAACCTTTTTCAAAATTAGTTCCAATAATGAAGAAAATTGTGACAATGCGACAAATACAAAATTCGATTGTTTTCTGTAAATATTTACGGTAGAAGACCGAAGAGTAAAGAAATTCACATTATTCGCCTTCATTTCCTGACTGACTGACTCTCCTTTTTACCGGAAGAATCGACCCATCAATTGCTTAATGGCCGTGTCTCAAAGAAACGCTCTTGCTCCTACATAAATACGTTACGTAAGAAATAAAAGCAAAGTGCAAAGGTCTCATCGTCACATTCATGACATTGATTTTGTTCGGGCGAGGATTTTGTACGATCAGAAAATAATAGGGGAGAGAGAAAGAAAGGCAACACTTCTCGTCCTCCGTGTGACTTTAAGCTAAGCTGGTCATTTTATTTCCTGGGATTTGTGGAAATCCGGCTGGACGAAACAAAATCGATTTGAAAAGGGATTAAGAGATTGAGAGCTGCTGCATTCTATTGTTATTTGCCTGTCTGGGTCAATTTTTCTCCAAAAAAGTCAAGTGTAGGATTTAGCAAAGTTATTTTATTCGGACAATTTGATCTCAACTTTAACTTAGAGATTTGACCCGACCAGATTTCGGGGAGAGAAAGAAAGCACAGATTTACGGTTCAATTTGTTGTTTCTTTTATGTACACAAGAACTCGACATTTTATGCACAGGATTAAAATGAACAACATTTCTTGGCTTCATATTTACTAATATTGCTGAGGAGACGACGACGACTCGACCGAGGCGACAACCACCTCCGACCTGGAGCCATTGTCTTCCACACACAGCGAGCTAGCCAGACCCCATTTGACATTTCATATATAATAAAATAAATCCTTCTCTAAAATGCTCACCAGCCAACTGTCACATAAACGAGAAGACTCGTATTGTGTCCTCGTATGTAGTAGAAATTCACTCGCTTAAAAGTTATGTACGTACGCATTTATTTATTACGTGTCCCACTCGACATTGACAAGAAATGACAACAAATTCATCAATTATCTGTCCCGTGGGCCTGAAAATCATCAATTATCTCATCTTTATAAAATCTCGTATTTATATTTTTAAGTTGTTTTTAAAAATCAAGACTTTTTTTCAAGAAATCATCGCGTGAAACAATCCAAGTTTCTTCTCCATGATTGACGATGACAATGTTGATGAGTTTGAAATGACTCAACATTTCTTGGACTGAGCCCTTTATTTATTTCCTCCGTTCGTATAATAATACCGACTGTGAAATTCCATTGTTGTAACGTAACGATGGACGCATTCGTCATATTAATTTTCTTTCTCTCTGGCGGACACAAACTTAATAAGAACGTGGGGATAGGCTCGTCTCATTCCATTTTATGCAAATCTTTTCTCCCTTTCATGTCATTGTTTCGGTTTAATTCAAATTTTCAGGTTCATTGACAAACAGACTGGAATCACAATGAAATGAAAGTAGTAATGAATGCGTGTATGTAGGTGGGAGTGGGCTGGCTGGTATTGTTAAGGGCAGTGGCCGCGGAAGCTGTGTGGGGACATGAGGGGACATTAACATTGTAGGATAGGGGAGGGAGGGGTTTATATAACATGGGCAGATGATGCGGACATCGAACAACCGTGGGGACATTGCCCCTTCTGTTCCGCGGCCACTGATTCAAATTGCCGGCTTCTCCTCCTTTGTCGTGGTAGGTAGCACATGACAAAAATTTTAAAATAGCCGAGTCCCTAAAAAAAATTGTGAATGAAAGTCTGCGACAATATTTATTGTAAATATTTGCTCATTCTCGATTCTGCGTGCACTTTAGGAGAGGATAAAAAATCTGTTTATAAAGGAGGAGAAATGTCACGTAACGTAAATCTGAGCCGATTTTTGCTTAATGCAAACAAAAATCTGAATAATTATGAATGGGGAGCCAGCCGGCTGGTTGACTTTTTAACAAGCATTCTTCCTTCC